AAAAAAAAAAAAAAAAAAAAAAAAGCATGTGAAGAGCTGTGGAAAGGGGTTCACTGTGTGGATGAGACACCCTGCAGTCAGTAGCCACTGGAAGCTGCTGTCACCTGGAGTCTATGTAGCCAGTGAGGTGTGGCACACCTACTTATTGCTTACATCTTGGAGGCACAGCAGGGGACAAGCTTTGTTTCTCAAAGACGAATGGAGTTTACCTGATGCTGATTTGGTTTCCTCCATCTTTCCTTCCAGGAATTCAAAAGCACGCTGAGCAGGTGAGTTACCTCACAGCTCCTGGGGCCTCTCTAAGTTACGTCTTCCGTTTTCACTGAGCCTTCTCTTTTTTCCCCATCCCCGGAGTTCTCACCTCCTGGTCCCCCTACTTGCTTGCCCAGGGACCTTCTGAGACAAATGTTTGCCTGCCTGGCCATGGGTTTTTCTGAATGAGGTCTGGCTCTCCCTTTCCTACCTCTTTCTGTCAAGAAGACCTTGCCATCCTAATTGTCATAGCCTGTGGGAGGAAAGCGGTGCACATAGGCCCTTCTCAGAGCCCCTGTCCTGCAGGTGCAGCAATGTGCCTGGCCCCAAGCCAACCACAGTCTCTTCTGAGATGAAGAATAAAGTCTGGAATGTTTCCCTCAAGACCTTTGTCTTAAAAGGGCTGCTGAAGAAGTTCAAAGGTAGGGGCCTGGGTACCGAGTGGGGCCACATAGTGTGGTAGAGGCTCAGGGGTCCCTGGGTGTGCTTTCTAGAAGCTGTGTGTTGAAACAGAAGATGGCTGTGCCATGGCTAGATTGGTGTAGGGGCCGTGGTGGCAAATATAGTCAGGCCCCCTCCCCAGGCCACGCAGCTTCCCATGGAGACAGTTGGGTAGAGGGGTGTCGCTAGGGGTACTGGGGGTAGGAAGACGGCTGTGTAGGGAGAGCTCAGGTCAGAGCCACTTAGGTAGAGCTAGAATGCTTGGGCATTGGCCCCCTGCCCCCCACCCCACATGCTTGGCCCTGTGCCTGCACATTCATTCTTGGCCTTAGGAATCTCAGGAATGAGTGAGTCAGTTGGGCTATAAAGAGCTGGTGACCTTGCCATAGAATCTCCCATGTCGCTCATGCACACCCTGTTTTGTTTCTCCTCTTCAGAGGACCTTCGGGGAGAGCTGGAGAAAGAGGAGAAAGGTAGGGATGGTGCTGTGATGGCAAGTATGGACTGTCTGCCACATAGAGAACCTACTCCCTGCTGGTGACCATCTCAGGGTTTGGCATATGGTCGGTTCCTTCCACCAACCCACCTCGGCAACCCTGTCCCTCTGTCCCCTACCCCTCCCTGTCCTTGCCTGGGAACTCTGACACAGATGGCAGTGGGGCCTGTTGGCCCAAATGCTGCAGGCTGGTTAGGAGCAGGAATGCTCTATTCCTCGAGATATTCAGACTGGGGAAGGCAGCTCGGCCACCTGGTCAAGCCGCTTCCCAGTCCCCACTCCAAGAGAGACGGAAACCTCTCCTAGAGATGGGGTGTATACAGGGAACCAGGAAAGTAAGGGGAGGCTGAAGGCTGGAAGGAATATGGTTCTTACTCTTGCAGAGCTCCAGAGTGTTTGGGATCCAACATTCAGGGGAAGGGAGTGGAGGGCACATATTCCTGATGCTGATGTCTGAGCTAAGTCAGAGTGTGTCTGGGTGACACCTAAAGCACCTGAGTGAGACCAGGCCCTCCTCTGCTCAGAGCCCTGCCACAGCCCCTCTAACTTAGTACAGGTCAAAGCCCTCATGGTGGCCTCCAGGCCCCAAGGGATCAGGCCTCACTGCACACCCCTGCTAATCCATGCAGCTACATATCCTGCTTGCTGCTCCTTAAGTGTACCAAGCACACACCCATCTCAGGGCCTTTGCACTGCAAGGCTCCCCTGCCCCAGCCCCCTACCTGGAACATGCTTTCCCCAGCCAGTCACATGGCTCGCTTCCTCACCTTCTTTTTTGTTTTTGTTTTTGAGATGGAGTCTCACTCTGTTGCCAGACTAGAGTGCAGTGGCACAATCTCGGCTCACTGCAACCTCTGACTCCCTGGTTCAAGCGATTCTCCTGCCTCAGCCTCCCGAGTAGCTGGGATTACAGGCATATGCCACCATGCCCAGCTAATTTTTGTATTTTTAGTAGAGATGGGGTTTCATCATGTTGGCCAGGATGGTTTTGATCTCCTGACCTTGTGATCCGCTCGCCTAGGTCTCCCAAAGTGCTGAGATGACAGGTATGAGCCACTGCGTTCGGCCTTCCTCACCTTCTTTATATCTGTCTGCTCGATGCACCTTTTCAGTGAGGGTCTTCCCTGGCCACTCCGGTTGAAGCTACAGCCTGTTCTTTTTGTCCCTCTTATCTGCTATGTTTATCATCTATCCTCAATCCTTTTCCTTCAGGAAGGAAGCTGGAGGCAGGCAGAACTACTTTGATACTCAGTGGTATCCCCAGGGCCTGGAAAGTAGTAGTGCTCACAATAAGTGTACATATTTTAACTTTTTTTGGATACAAAGTATTGCTTTGTTGCCCAGGGTGGAGTGCAGTCCAACTGCAGCCTCAACCTCCCAAACTCAAGCAATCCTCTCTCCTCAGCCCCCTGGAGTAGCTGGGACTACAGGAGCACACCACCATGCTTGCTAAATTTTCTATTTTTTGTGGAAACGGGGTCTCACTATATTGCCTAGGCTGGTCTCCAACACCTGGGCTCAAGCTGTATTCCCACCTCTGCTTCCCAAAGTGCTGGGATTACAGGCATGAGCCTCTGCACCTGGCCTTAATTTTTTATCATGGAAAACTTCAAACATACTCAAAAGTAGAGTGAAGAGTATAAAGAATGTTACATACCCATCTCTCACCTTCAGCAGTGGTCAATTAGTGGCCATAGCTTTCATAGACACTGCTATCCACTTCTCATGGGATTCTTTTATTTTCTGAGACAGGGTCTTGCTCTAGAGTGAGATCCTGGAGTGCAGTGGCCTGATCTTGGCTCACCGCAACCTCTACCTCCTGGGTTTAAGTGACCCTCATGCCTCAGCCTCCCAAACAGCTCGAATTACAGGCACAGGACACCACGCCGGGCTAATTTTTGTGTTTTCAGTAGAGAAAATACAAAACAAGGTTTCCGCCATGTTGGCCAAGCTGGTCCCAAACTCCTGACCTCAAGTGATCAAGCGGCCTTCGGTCTCCCAAAGTGCTGGTATTGCAGCTGTGAGCCATCTTCTCTAGCCTCCGCTGCATAATAATAATTATTATTATTTATTTTTATTTTTTTGAGATGGAGTCTCACTCTGTCGCCAGGCTGGAGTGCAGTGGCACAATCTCGGCTCACTGCAACCTCTGCCTCCCGGGTTCAAGCGATTTTCCTGTCTCAGCCTCCCGAGTAGCTGGGACAACAGGCATGTGCCACCATGCCCAGCTAATTTTTGTAGTTTTAGTAGAGACAGCATTTCACCAGGTTGGCCAGGATGGTCTTGATCTCCTGACTTTGTGATCCTCCTGCCTTGGCCTCCCACAGTGCTGGGATTACAGGCATGAGCCACCATGCCCTGCCTATTATTATTTTTATTTTTGAGACAGGAGACTTGCCCTGTCACCCAGGCTGGAGTGCAGTGGCACGATCTCTGCTCACCGCAATCTCCGCCTTCTGGATTTAAGCCATTTTCCTGCCTCAGCCTCCAGAGTAGCTGGGACTACAGGTCTATGTCATCACACCCAGCTAACTTTTATATTTTTAGTAGAGACAGGGTTTTGCCATTTTGGCCAGGCAGGTCTCGAACTCCCGACCTTAGGCGATCCTCCCCCTTGGCTTCCCAAAGCGCTGGGATTACAGGCGCGAGTCAAGGTGCCTGTCCCCACTGTATTAAAGCACATCAGAGACAACATATTATTGCCATAAATATTTCAGTGTGTTATCTCTAAAGAAACAGACTTTGTAAAACATAACCATAAAGCAGTCATCATACCTGCAGAGATTAATGATTCTTTCCAATGTCTAGCATTCAAATTTGTTTTAATTGGAGTTCAAATCAGGCCCATACATTCCATTTGTTTGATTTCAGTAAGTACTTGCTGAGTGGTGCGGGAGGAGAGAAGCAAAATAGCTGGGAGGCAGAGAGTGGGGGTTGGTTGGGCCTTGGCGCTGGATGCTGGGAGGATTCTCGAGGGAAAGGCAGGCAGGTTGCAAAGCAGGGATGGGCGCGGCCCTGCAAAGACTGTGCCAAGCCTTCATGGGGACATTTCTCCCTGTCTCTGCCTGCAGTGGAGCTCACCTTGGATCCCGACACGGCCAACCCGCGCCTCATCCTCTCTCTGGATCTTAAGAGTGTGCGTCTCGGCGAGCGGGCCCAGGACCTGCCCAACCATCCCCGCCGCTTCGACACCAACACCCGTGTCCTGGCATCCTGCGGCTTTTCCTCGGGCCGGCATCACTGGGAGGTGGAGGTGGGCTCTAAGGACGGCTGGGCTTTCGGCGTGGCCCGGGAGAGCGTGCGCCGAAAGGGCCTCACACCCTTCACCCCCGAGGAGGGCGTCTGGGCCCTGCAGCTCAATGGCGGCCAGTACTGGGCCGTGACCAGCCCCGAGAGGTCGCCCCTCAGCTGCGGGCACCTGTCGCGTGTGCGGGTGGCCCTGGACCTGGAGGTGGGAGCCGTGTCTTTCTACGCCATGGAGGACATGCGCCACCTCTACACCTTCCGTGTCAACTTCCAGGAGCGCGTGTTCCCGCTTTTCTCTGTCTGCTCCACGGGTACCTACTTGCGAATCTGGCCTTGAGGGGCACTGCTCCGAGCTCCTGTCTCTGAGCTGCTGGTGGGAAGGGATATCGCCTCCCCAGAGCTTCCTGGTCCATCTTGGGTCTGCCCTCCCTGCTCCAGACCCTGGTTGCTATAGACACAACCCTGAAGCAGGAGACTGAGACTACGGCCAACTGAGCAGGGGAAGAGAGACTGGACTCTTGGGGGTTCCTTTCCTGAGGTCACATATGGATTTGGCCAGAGCCCTCAGGAGGTGGAGGCTGGTGAGGTCAGGAGCCCAGCTCTCCAAAGGGCTTCTGCCCTGACTGGAAAGGCGTCTGACTCCCTAAAAAAATGTCAAAGCCAGTCCTGCTGTTTCCCATTGCCAGGGGACAGGTCTGGGCCCGCCTGCCAGGTTTGCTATCATGGCTGCTGCCTTCTGGATAGCTGCCAGCTCTACCTTGAGAGGTTGTGGGACCTCTGGATCCAGCTGGCCTGACAGGTCATCTACTCAGGGAGGAGCCCTGTGCTCCCAGCTCAGAGGACAGTCTAGGCCAGAACTGGAAGGAGGTCCTTAGACCGTCTGTGAGAGAGAAGCCCAGGACAACAGCCAATGGGTATCACAGCTCTCCAGCACTCTTAGCCAGAAGATACAGAGTGATAGGTGGGTCCTGACCAAAGCAACAACCAGCATGTGCTCTCACAAACACCTGACCCCCCACTTTCCAGTGCCAAAGTATAAACATTTCTGGGATAAGGAGATCAAAGCTTCTGGAACTTTATTTTTTTCTTTCTTTTTAATTTTTTTTTTTTTTTGGTGACAGGGTCTCACTCTGTCACCAGGCTGGAGTGCAGTGACAAGATCTCAGCTCACTGCAACCTTCCGTCTCACGGGTTCAAGTGATTCTCCTGCCTTAGCCTCCTGAGTAGCTGGGATTACAGGTGCCTGTCACCACGTCCAGATAATTTTTGTATTTTTAGTAGAGATGGGATTTCACCATGTTGGCCAAGATGGTCTTGATCTCTTGACCTCGTGATCTACCTTCCTCGGCCTCCCAAAATGCTGGGATTAAAGGCATGAACCACTGTGCCCAGCCTCTTTTTAACTGTTTTTTAGAGACTGGGTCTTCCTATGTTTCCCAGGCTGGTCTTGAACTCCTGGCCTCAAGTGATCTTCCAGTCTCCATCTTCCTAAGGGCTATGATTACAGGTGTGCACTGTACCTGAACTGTTTTTTGTTGTTTTTGCTTCTGGAACTCTGAAACACAAAACACAAGATGGTACTTACATTTTTTTTTTTTTTTTTTTGAGATGGAGTCTCACTCTGTCATCCAGGCTGGAGTGCAATGGCACGATCTCCGCTGACTGCAACCTCCGCCTCCCAGGTTCAAATGATTCTCCTGCCTCAGCCTCCTGAGTAGCTGGGATTACAGGCACGTCCCACTGCGCCCAGCTAATTTTTTTAGTAGAGACAGGGTTTCAACATTTTGGCCAGCCTGGTGTCGAACTCCTGACCTTGTGATCCATGCGCCTCAGCCTCCCAAAGTGCTGTGATTACAGGCGTGAGCCACTGCGTCCGGCTGGTACTTACAATTTGAAAGATGCAGCCAGTTCTGAACAACGCACAAACAGCACAAACATGATCCTGACAGACTCTTTCAGGAAACTGCCAACAGCAGAGCACCCTGGTGTCAAGGCCTTCTCAGCCTAGCCCTGGAGGGGACTCCCCTGGCCAGCCTCAGCTCTTGTCTACTTGTTCTCCAGCTTCTGGATAGCTGAGCTTCTGGAAGGGTGGCAGTGGGCTGCTCCCTGCTCAGTGCTCCCCAGGGAAGGGGGTGGGGAGATGAAAATGAAGACTATGAGCTGTCTTTAGAGTTGGCTTGGCTCATTTTCTACTCCCTAGATCTGAGTGCAAGAGCAGAAGTATGAGCCAGGGTTTCTGCCAGAGTGAATAAGTGTGCACGTTTATATGTAGGAGGAGTGTGTGTTTATTTATATCTCACCTTTCTTGTGTGTGTGTGTGTGTGTTTGTATTCTGGAGAGAGCATTTATGAGCATGGCATAAGGTTCAAGTATTGCAAACAGACCCAAGTCAGTTTGGTCATATTCTATTGTTGATTTGTTTTTAAATATTAACCGCCTTCTACTTAGGCAAGGGCCACAGGCTTCTTTCCTCACTACCTGGCTACCAGGCTGGATGAACAGAATACCAGGCTCAGAGCTAATTTTGTCCACACAGGTTATTTAGACAGATGTGCTGGCAAGCAGGGACAATGACAGTTGAACTGCCCTGTGTCATGGAGCTTCAGTGCTCTGTCTCTGAGATGCTTCAAGCTCACTTTGCACATAGGGTTCTCGAGGGGCAGGCATGACACTATCCCAAAGACAGGCCCAGTTGACACAGCACCAGATAATCAGAATACTGTATCCTCTGGGCTGAAGACAGGACCAATTAAAAGTCCTGCCTACAGAAGCATTCCAGAGAGTGAATCCTATGTCCTGCTTATACATGCAGAGCCGCTCTAAAACCTGGTAGCCAGTTCCGGCATTTGAATACCTCTGATTTCCATAAGGAAAACCAATCTCTAATATTCATTTCCTAACTAAATCACCTATTGTTACCATTAAGCCCTAATGTTATCTGGCTTGTATGGCTTTTTGATTAAGTATCATAATTCCCTTTGTACCATCCAACAAATGTACTGAGCATCAGAATGCATTACAGGTCCCAGAAGGTGCAATGTCTGGTGGAGGTACCACATAAGGGTCAGGTCTAGGGACTGGGAGTAGCTCTCCACATGTATATTTTCAGTTTTTGTGTTCATGGGTGTAATCGTGTGTCTATCAGAGAGTGTGTGTTTGCAGAATAACTACATACATATCTATATATCTGAAGAAATGTAACAACAGTTACTGTAACAATTGCATGTAGAAAGGAAGAGATGTTCTTTCTTGGTCACCAGGGCAGTGCAGTAACTTGGATGTCAGGATGCTGGTGTGAGGACATGTGTATACATATCCCTCTCCTATACTCTGGGCGTCATAAACTCTAGAGATCTCTGGGTCTGTGAGAACAACTGGCCTAACTTGGGCACTTCTTATCCAACCATTAGTTCTAGCTGCTGAGCCATAAGCCCAGGCCTCTGCCATCAGAACCTCACGGGGCCCCTCAGCATCCAGACTCGGGGAAATCCAAGGGCCTGCCTCTGGCCTGGCCGCCCAGTGATCTAAGACAGCCGGCTGTGCAGGGAGCATAGGGCAGGCTGGGCCACCAGGCCAAGGTCCACTTCCTATACCCACCAATTTCTGTCCTTTGCCAGGCTGGGCCCTCATCCTTTTCCCTCTCCTCTACCCCGTGGCCCTTTAGGGGCCCTGACAGAACAGTTCCTCCAGTGTGCCCTAAAAGCTGCCTTTTCCAAATTCATTCAAATGTGAGGCAGGGACTAGCACCCACCTGCAACCCTACCTAGACTCTTCTGCTCCAGCGCCTCCAAACACCTAGCCGTCCTGACTCCCCGCTTCCCCACTCCCCCTCGGCTTCCACCTCCAGATGCCCCCACTGCTCCCCTACTACCAGCTCGCTCCAGGTCGCGCCCTAACTGCTCGGACCTGGGCTCCCTGCGTGCGTGCTCACATCCTTCCCTAACTTTTCCATAGCCCTGACCTCTGGCCCAGTATCCTCATGAACAACAAGCCACAAACCGTGCTCTCCAATCCTCGCGCCCCTCCCCGCCCCTCCAGCTCCGACCAAGGCTGGGGACGCTTCTCACCGCGCTGAGATCCGCCGGGTCCGGACAGCGCCTGCTGGCACCCGCGCCCGCGCCCTAGTCCAACGCCACCACTGTCTTAGAGGAGCTTTCTCCCGGGACTAACGCCGGGGGAGGAGCTTGGGTCCAGTCACCACGGAACTCAGTCGGGTTCGGCGGACTGCGGCTGCGCAACGCTGGCGATAGCGTCAACCATTTGCGCGAGAAAAGAGACTCAGCGGTCGGCTCCATAGCTCAGGGGTTAGAGCACTGGTCTTGTAAACCAGGGGTCGCGAGTTCAATTCTCGCTGGGGCCTACCTCGTCTTTTCTTTTTTTCCTTGAAAAATAGTGGAAGATGCGCGAACCTACTCCTGCCCTCCAGGGAGGCCAAACCGTGGCGGAGTCACTTTCTGTTTACCTCTAAGGTACCCGCCACAGAAGGCTGCTTCCCTACCATTTTCTTATCTCTTGAAGAGTCAGACCCACTGCGGGCTTCCTTTTTTATCACGGGTTCACTGAGCCCCGCGCGCCCTCTTTCCGCTACCCCGCTCACTTCCGTCTGCGCGCGCTCTCCGGGAGCTTCTTTCCCTTCCCCTACGTTCTTCCCACTCCTGCCAGGGACTTGCCTTTGTGTCTCTGTCCCTCTCTCCAGGGGGAGACGATAGAACTACCGCGCCCCTTCCCGCCTGGCGTGTTTGCGGCGTCCTCCCAGCGCGCGCTGAGCGCGGGGTCTACAGCTCTGTGCTTGGCGGCTGCGCGCCTTCGGGTCCCCGTCGCCTCCGTACTACAAGCTCTGACTTCTTTTTGTGGAGTTAACACAGAAAAGCGCAGACGGCCACATTCGTGACCCGGGCCTAACGGCGCTTCCTGTCAAGATTAGCTTTCAGCCTCTAGAAAAAACTTATTTTAAACAAAATATACAAGTAATGAATGCTGGCCTTCTGACTGATTTATTCCTGCTATTAACGGAAGTGTAGAAAGCGAGCCAGAGTCCTCAGTGAACAGTGGGGGCGCTGCCCAGGTGCAGGAAGGGCCCCCTGGGGGTCTCGGGACCGCTCCTGCCTCGGTCTTCCCCGCCAGGCGCACTCTGGAGGCCTGAGCACAGGTGGAGGCGGGGCCCGGTTCCGCCGCACACTCCCCTGTCGCAGGCGCCCTCTCTCCAGCGGAAGGGGACCTTGAAAAGCCCTGAGCGAGTCCCTGTCCCACGTGGGCCCGCGGCTTATACAGGCACCACTCCAGGGTAGCTCAGGGTTCGAAAACTTCCGTGTCTGGTGCACCAAAGAAGAGAAAACCGCTCGCAGCCACCTAGGTAGAGACTGGAGTTGTGACCGCGTTGACTGGGTGGGGAGAAGGAGCGAGCGGGGTCTGCGGCTCCGGCCAGGAGGACGCGCTTTCCTCTCTCACCCACGCCTGCTTCGGTCCAAAGAGCCGAGACTGTGGGTCAAGACCGGGATGGATTCGCTCCGCGCAGGTCAGGAGCCCACCAGCACATTCCGGCGCTCGCGCGCCTGGGGCTGCTCAGAAACTCGTGGATCCCGAAACACCTGCCCCACAGGAAGATCACCCTACTTTAGAAGTCAGGCCACGGGGACCAGGAGCGAGCTACCTGAGGGGTTAACTGTGGATACCCTCCGGACGAAAACCGTGGACTCCCAGGGTGCGTGCGTGTGCTTGCGTGTGGGGGTGTTGGCAGGCAGTCCCCACAATAATCGAACAAACAGGTGGGCAAACCTCAGGCCTCGCACTCTGGGGCTTTCAAAGTCTGGGCCTCACAGCCGCTCCCATACACTCACTGGTCACCTGGCCGAATTAGGTGGCATATAGGTGAGGTGCCGGGAGGTCTTCCACGCTCGCGCTCCTGTCCAGGTGGAGCTGGTGGAGGCGCGGGTGCGAGGCTTGGGACATGGGAGAGCTCTCCCGGGTGGGGCGGACCCAAGGGCATTTCATCTGAAATGTTCAGCATGGGAAGAGCTGAAGGCCAGCCACGGCATTCAGGAGAGTCCAGCGTGGAGA